ATATATATATATATATTGTGTTCTGGGAAGGGTCCTTAAAAAGATCGTACTGTGCTTATCAAAGAACAATATGCAATCACCACACTTTAATCTCATTCGTATCCCATGAGAAAGGAAAACTGTCAATTACATGGTAATTTTGGAGACATTTTCAAATCCCCAAAGGGGGATTTGGCTGAGGGTCTCATCACAGTGGACAACATTCACTGATTCAACAAATGGTTACTGAACATATGTCCTGGCTCAGGCCCTGAGAAGGGGGGTGGAGGACGGGGAGGAATGTGCCCTAAACAGGATTAACCCCTGATGCAGGCAGCTCTGGTGGAGGAGGGAATAGGCAGTTCCATAAGTAGGGTCCCCTGAGCCAATGTAGGGAGGTCAGGAAATGCCTCCTGAAGGAGACAGGTACTTAACTAAGACCTGCAGATCTACAGGCAGCCAGGTGAGGAGCAGGCAAAGAATGCTCTAAACACGGAACATTTAATAGCATGGAAAGCAGCTCTGTGTTTCCACAGTGTTTCCCGTGACCAGGAGGTAGTGAGGGAGGACCCTTTGTGGGACAGCAGGGGCTGAGTTAGGAGAGGTCTTAAGCCTTGTGCAGAGTCTGGGCCTTATCCAGGAGGCAACAGAGAGTTTTTCCTAATAAAATTTATATTCCTTTAAATGGTATTGCAAATGTCACCTACTCTGAGAAGCCTTCCCTGACCACCCTATATAGGTCCCCTCTGCTGTTCTTGTCTCTGTTCATTTGTTCCTACATAAAGCATTTCCACTTGCAGTTTTATTTCCTGGCCCATGAGGGTGGGTCTGTGTCCATCTGACCCATCAATGCATCCCTTGTACCTAGCACAATGTCAGGCATATATTAGGACTCAATCAATGGCTCAGTAAAAAAAAAACAAAAACAAAAACTGACTGACCAGCTGTGTGAATGAAGCTTGGCTTAATCTTGAGAGAGGGAAGCAGCTGGTGAAATTATGCCAGTGCGTTAAGGACTAAATTTGACCGGCCTGGATTCCCTCTGTCAGCCTGTCCATCATGGGTGCTGGCCTGCTCACACCACCGGGGCTGGTCTGGGCTTTTGCACACAGCATCCTAAGGCAGCACTGAGGACCCCTGCTTGTGAGCATCACCCCACCTTGCTGGGTGTGTCACTTCTCGCATAAGACAGGGAGCAGGGCTAAATGAATGACTCCCAGTACTTCCAAAAGTCCTTTCTACCCTGTGGTTCTTCTAAGGAGAAAAGCCAGGGTTTTGCCACTGCCCTCTGGATCTTACAGAACACCTTGGTATTGACAACCTTTGCCAAGAAAACAGCCCAACCAATTCCAGGGCTGCGTCATCTGGGGAAGTTTATACAGGGAAACTTCCCGACCAGGAGGCTGAAGTGGTTTTCTCTTAGGAAGGAAGGTCCATGGGTGGTCAGATGGAAAAGAAGGGACTGAGTGGGCCTGGGCCTGATCTGGTCAAGGCCCGGAAGTGGACTGGGCTGGTGCCCGAGGGAGGCTCAGGGCAGCGTGAGGGTACAGAGCCTCCCAACGAGTCCCCTCTCCATGTTTCTTTGCAGTGATAGCCCACACAGTGAGCCAGGGACCATTGATGAAGTTGACCATGACAATGGCACTGAACCTCACACCAGTGATGAAGGTGAGTGGAGGGAAATCTGGGACCAAGGAACCCACCCAGAGCCTCTCATGCTGGCCCAGGACTGCTCAACGCTGGGCCAGCCACAGAACCCCTCCTGCTTTGCAAGTCAGCACGTCGTCCCCAGAATAGATGGGGATTCAGAAAGACCTCGGAGGCTTGTGCATTCCATGGATCACATTCCTACCCGGCTGCCTCGTCCCTCTCTGTGTCCTTGTTGATCCAAGTGCAAATCCTAAGTGACAAGAGTTTCCTAAGTAGGAAGCATGCTTTGTCCCTCGGTTCCTCCCCAACCAGGGATCTGTTCCGTGCCCAGCTGCGCTGGGACTTGGGGCATATCGATGAATGAGACATGGATCACTGGGACCTGCAGTCTCATCATCTGACAGGTTGGGAGCAGCTCCCCATGACGCAGAGTGATAATGCCAGACTGCAGCTGCGCCCCCAGAGCGGTGGGTGCCTGAATACAAAGCCTAACAGGGCCGGCCCAGGGAAGTGGAGGGAAGGAGGGAAAGGCCAGCCTGGCTTCTGACGGCTCACCGGGCCCTTCCACCATCTAGACAAGGAAAAGAGAGTCAGGTTCGTCTCGCGGGAGCCTGGACTGTGCAGATAAGCAACGTGGATGATACAGGCCCAGGGCCACATGTCCATTAGGCACAGCAAGCACAGTAGGCACAGTGTCCTGGGCCCACAACACTTGAAAATGTTCTAATTTCTTTGAAAGTAAGAAGAAAAATATGAATATGGTCCAGCCTGGACTACATTTATCTTTATGACAATACAGTTGTAAATATAATTTTAACTTTTTGTTAATGGAGGAAGAGACCTGTCAGGGCCAGCCTGACAGGTTGAACCGGGCTGAGGTAGATAGGTGGGAATTGAGAAAAGAAAGAGACAGGAGAGCGGGATCAGGAGGACTACAGCTCAATCGAGGAACTGCAGTAAGTTTATTAACCACACAATGCTTTTTATACACAAGACACTGAATAGGAGGTCTGTCAAGAGGAATGTATTCTTTGTTCTTCTTAATCTCTAAGGAAGAGATAGAGCAGAAGGACAAATTCTCGGTACAGCAAATCTCAGTAAATAGTTACAGACTTCTTGGTAAGCCATGAAAGGCTGTTCTCATTCTACACACGTTGCTCTCATTCTACTGATAACCGCCATCCAAACAAGTCTGGGAAAACTGTGGGTAAGGGTTCCAGCCTTGCTAGCCCCTTCAGGTGCAAGGACCATGTCAGCTTACACCCGGTCTCCAACAGAGACCCATGCAAAAACAAGTGCAGAGTGCCTGTGAGAGTCATAGCACAGCCACTATAGACCAAGCACAGCCCTCCTGCCTCCCTGAGAGAGTTTTGCTTTTTTATAAATCACTATTTAGCGTTTCTCTTACTGACCTTGTGTTTCTATTGTGGGACATTTGGGTTTTGTTCCAAGCACAAAGGGAAGCCTTCTGAGGGATTTGAACAAGAGAGTTTCATGATCTAATTTATGATTTTTAATTGAATTCACTGGGCTGACATTGATTAATAAAATTATACAGGTTTCAGGTATTGTGTGTTTACCACCCCAAGTCTGTTCTCCTTCCAACACCATTTATCCCCTTTTCCTTCTTCTAACTCTCCCCTCCCCTCTTCACCCTGGCAATCACCATATGGTTGCCTATGTCCATGAGTCTTTCTTTTTTTCCTTTGCTTAATCCCTTTACCTTTTTCACCTAGCCCCCAACCTTCTCCCCTCTGACAGCTGTTCTCTGCATCCAGGAATCTGTCTCCATTTTGTTTGTTAGTTTACTTTGTTCATTAGATTCCATATATAAGTGAAATAATATGGTACTTGTCTTTCCCTGGCTGGCTGGTTTCACTTTGCATAATACTCTCCAGATCTGGCTGCTGTGGGGAGAAATGGCTCCCCACGCAAGAATGAAAGCCAGGAAGGCAGGTAGAGGGACAACAGTGGCAGGGGAGGTGGCGAGACTGGTCAGACTCAGGGGATAGCTGCAAGGGGCTGCTGATTGGTGAGATGTGGGACTCTCAAGAGCAACTGCAAGGCTTTGGCCTGAGCCAGTGAGCAAGGTGGTTCTATTTCCTAACTGGGGAAGATGAGAGAATTCACTAAGTTTGGTGAGGGGCGTGGGAGAATGGTGCAAGGGAGAATAACATACTTTATTTCGGTAATATAGACCCAAATAATGGCTTTCTTAATAACTGGTAGCTGCTATTACTGTTCCCACCACACACACTTACATAATGACATCTGCACACATGTTTACGCTCAGCTGGGGCTCAGCTCGGCTCCTCCCATTTTCTTCTTTTCTTTCTCTTACATTTTCCATTCCTCCCCCGCCTTCCCACCGCCACCCCCTGGCACCAGACTACCCCAGCTACCCAAGGGGCTCCTATGTGCTGCTCCTAGCAGGAGCTAACCGTTAATCTCTGCTAACCTCTACTCAGGCCAGCTTCTTTATCAGCTGAATCGGCTGGCTCAGAGGACACCCTGGGGTGAACGCCCAGAGCACCGCCAGCCGGGTTCAGCTCCTGCCTTAGACCCTCTGGCCTTCCTGCTCTCTGTAGCTGGGCTGCAGGCAGTGCCAGGATGTGGCTGGCTCAGAGAAGAGTCAAAGAGGCAGAGGAGGACGGAGATCTCCCCAATTTTCCGAGGTGACTCTGAGTCAGGATCCGAGGTATTTGACCCATTTAGCTGTGCTGTCATTCTGCATCAGTTGTGTTAGGAAGGCATTTAAAGACATGTGTCAGGGAGCCAGCTGGGAAAAGCTGACTTAGCTGTCCAACACCCGCTCCCCACAGAAGGCTGCCCCAGGCACTGAGGATTGTGTGCTTCCAAAGACTTCTGTGTCCCATGGGATCACCAATAGTCATCCGGGGCCAGCTGCTTACAGAGAGCCCGAGTGCACGCGTATGGTGGGGATCAGTGGGGGGATGAACAAAGGGGTTTGCTCCCTCTGCCCTCTGACTTTCCATACTGCCTTAGCCCTTGAAAGTACATCAGCTCTAGTGACAACAACTAACTCTCATATGAGTTTATCATATGCGCACACTATTGCAAGCACTTCATGTATGGTAGCTCGTTTAATCCTCATAACAACCCTAGAAGGTATCGGTACTATTATTATTCATTCCCATTCTACAGATGAGGAAACTGAGGCTTAGAAAGGAGAAATCAGTTGCCAAAGGTCACACAGCTAAAAAGCAGCAAAACCAGGTGTTCTGGCCTTTCCTCCATGGAGGACAGGTAGATGGCTGGAAGGACAGATACAGATAAGCTACCAGGAATGGAGCAGATATGGAGACCCATGGATGCTAAGCATAGGGAAAGTATCTGCAGGCTAGAGAGAGCAAGGGTCACTTTTGTTACTCTTGTTCTATTAGGATTAATATACCTACACATATTATTTGTATAATGTTAAACATTTTTGTGCTTGTTTTAAAATATAAGTACATTAATACCTATACACAGTTTTCTACCAAGTGTGGACATTTCGTAGGGTATAAACTACAGTATAGGTTAAATCAGTCATAGGCATAACTTTCCTGCTCCCTGTACAGTCTCCTCCCCAGACATCATCAGCTGTATGGTTGTAGGTAAACCACTCAAACTCTTGGCAGCTTAGATTTCTTATTTAGACCTACCCCATAGGCTAAATCCATTAGTAATAATAATCATAATCATGAGAGCCATTATCAACTGAATACCTAGTGTATGTCTGTGCAATGTTGTCTTTC